TAATTACCGGGCCACAACCCAACCCATTCCAGAATCCACAGCGGCCCAAATAAACAGCCCAATTTTTGGTAGAAGAAATCTATCAGCAGCAATCTCAAGACTACCTCCAGTTTCAGAGAAGGCGAACGAAGTTTCGATAGTTGTGAGAAGTTTGGCCGATTGGAGAATGAGTAGCGCAGTGGATGCAGTAGGGAATCCGATCCCAACATCGGCGGTGCTGATGTCGGCGTCGAAACACATTGACATAAGATGCCGGAGCGAGAACGTAGCATATCTCAAGTGCAAAAAAGACGATCCTAACCCTGAGAAATGCCTTCACAAAGGCCAACAAGTCACTCGCTGTGTCCTTAGCCTGTAAGTGACAAATTCATATCCAAATATTTCTTAATTTTGAAATGCCTTATCGAATTTTTGTGACGTTATTATAGTTGTGATTTGTGTGCGAATTAATTATTGAGAAAAGGAGAACGTTTAGGGCTTTGTTTGTATACATTTTATACTAATCAGGAGCTGACTTTTTTCTGATTCAAGTATGAAGTGTTTAAGTTATCCGTTTGTTAATGTTACAGTACATATATAGCAGAATTTTCGTTTTGTTGTGGTGGTCCCATGAAGTAAAGTTGCAGAAGGATCATCATAGATGATCTGGATTTAAGGTTAATTGTTGTCCGAAGTATGTTTGGTTTTGTTAGACATTTGTATGTTATTAGGAACAAGTGAAACATTTGGTGTGAATTTGAGATTTAGAGAACCTCCAGTTTTATAAAATACTAATTTGTCAAAAAGATTTTGATAAGTTTATAATTTGTCAAATTACTGAGTAGTGGAATGAAATGGGTCCAAATAGAGCATAACAAAAAGTAGAGGATTCTTATAGCCCAACCTTACTAGTTTGAAAGTGAAATTTAGTTGATTTGGTTGATTGATACTATTACTACTACTACAAACAAGTTGGGCTCGGCTATATGAATCCTTACTGACCTTGTCGCTCCATTTAAGCTCATCTTAAGCCAGAAATTAACTAATTAAATGTTCTTGTTGAATGTTTTTCTTAATGCTTGAATCTCTACTGCAACTGCTTTTTATAGGTATTGTCATGGGCGAAGCCATATGTCCGAAAGGGTCGTCAGTTGATCACCCTTCGTCGGAAAATAGCACTAAGTATATAGGTAAAATATTAGGTTTTATAGGTATATAACATATATTGAACACTTCTCGAAGAATTTTTTCACTTCTTTTAATTTGAACACCCTTAAAAAAATTTCTGGCTTCGCCACTGGTTATTGTTGCCCAATAATTGGTAGAGTAGTAAGAGCAATAAGATATCTTTCCTTGGTTTCTATTGGACTGTTTCGATAAGTCAGAGCATAATGTAACATAGTTTCAAACAAGAATGTAGCAGAATGAAAAGGTATTCTGCCTGTTCAGCGGCAAAGGTGGTACAGTGCATGATGGCGGTAGGCCTCTGGCCTACGTCACGAGTTTGTAACAAGGCTTTGAACCAAATTTGGTACTTAAGAGGAGAAGGATAGAATGGTGGGCCAATTTTCCCTATATTTTTTCTCTGTCATAAAAAAAAAAGAATAAACAATTGTTCATCTGGCAGTTAAAGACTGAAAGTTTATGTATATCCTGAATCGTTTATGAAATCAAGAGTGGTTAGAGTTTTGTATTCATGCTGTGATTGTATGTTCTTCATGCTGGGATTAGAATTGTTCTTTAAGAGGTACATGTTTAGCTTATTAGCTGGCAATCATATAATATGTATGCATTTAGCTAAGAAGCTGGCAATTCTTATAACAAAAAGAATACTTGTAGCTGTTTATTTCCTTTGCCATGTGCAGATGAGTGCGTATAACATGCGTTTCGTGATGATATTGGATTGCTTTCAGGGTCTTTTTCGTCGGTCACCGTGCTGTTGCTAAACATTATTGATCAGAGTAGTTGAATGTCTATGTAGTAAAGGGGGATATATTTGGAGTGATTAACCCTATGAAATCAAGGGTAGTTTTGGGTATCTTGCTGATTGAATTACTTGAAATAAAAGGTGTGTTGGATATGGCCACCCCCTTATTATATGACAGAGATGTTGGACTTGGATATTTCTCTCAGTAGAATCCTTTTGAAGCCTGTTCTTAGACAAGTTTGAAAGCTGTTTTTTCTGAAAAAAAGAAAAAAAAAAAAAGCAGGAGAAACGTCTCTCCTACAATATATGAACCTTAAACGGAGTTACCTGATTATTTATATTCTGTTACTTGTGTTATTGCTCAGTGAACTAGACCAGTTTAATTATCTTAAACTAATGGATGCCCACTTTTTTTGATTTGCACCGGGTGTCCGAGTCTCTTAGAGCACCGACTAATCCCGGGGGTGCACAGGCCCTCGGCAAGGAGTTTCCCGCAAGTGCACCACGGTTAATTCAGGTTTTACCCAGTCCGATGGCCCTCAGAAATTGTTTGCACCCAGTGAGTTTCGAACTTGAGACCTTGAAAGGGAGCAAACCCCAAGGCTCAAGTCAATTGCCACCAGGCCAACCCCTGAGGGTTATGGATGCCCACTTTAGAGAGAGTCATAGATAACGCAAGACAATCCCTTCCTTTTTTTCCGAAAATGTAACATATTGTGTATATTATATATGTACATATCAGCTGCACAAAGTTTGTACGGCAACCATGATTACAAAGTGTAAATACAAGGAAGCATCCAGCCCTTGTTCATCTCACAAGGTACCTAGAAGATCAGTAAGTGATTCTGTATCCTCTAGAAATTCCTGTTTACACCAAAAGTGATACAAAAATAAACATCTCATCTTGATTTCCTGGGTAGGACTGCGTAATACAAAAACAAACATCTCATCTTGATTTCCTGGGTAGGACTGTTTAAGTTTTCAAAACATCTAGAGTTCCTCTCTTTCCCGATTGTCCACCAGACAGCAGCAGGTATAATTTTCCATCTCTCCTTCCAGCTCGACTGTCTTCCATCAATGCTCTAACAAGCTAAGACTTCTATGATCTTTTGGCATAACCCATTTGATTCCCCTCAGATTAATGAATATCCTCCATAACCGAACAGTAACTTGACAGTGCAAAAAAAGATGGTTGATTGTCTCTGCTTCATTCCCACATAGTTGACATCTAGAGCGTAGTGGGATTCCCCTATTCATCAGATTGTCCTCAGCTATAACTGCTTTCTTTGCCAGTAGCCATGTGAAACAGCCTCTCACTGAGCAACCAAATCAGCCCCTCTACACCAATTGTCTTTCTTGGCTACTTATTTTGTTTTTATTATCTCAAAGGAAGTTCTTTTTTCTCCTCTTACGTTTATTTTATCTCTTCATCCATCAACATAACGCGTAGAAAAACAACTCTAAGAGCCATCAACTGAATACCGTAGACGACCACGTGATCCGCATGCCATTTCCTTCAAACAATGGCCTTGCTGTGTCAAGGTATTGTCTATCATTCATACCTTATATAATAAAGGGTATTGCCTAGCATTCGAAGTCTTTTATATGCACATATTCTTGGTGTATGCACACATTGTATCTGTTGCAAATCCTCTTTGTATCCTGCTTATATGTCTCTTATATGCAGGCTAAGATTTGAATAGCAGTTAATCAGCACGCTAGACATCCAAAACTGACTTTAACGTGGAAAAGAGTCAAATTTAGGCAGCCGATCCATCTTTGTCCCTTATTATCAGCTGATGCCTGTAACAGTGTCACAGTGTGACTCCTGAATCCTGATACATAGCCATTGGTCAATAGCCTAAATCACAGGGGATGAGGGGAAGAGTTGGGTATAGGTTAGGACAGTGTGTGTGGTCTATGGAAGGTGGAGAAAAATTTAAAAAATGACATGGGGAGTGCTCCACAGTGTGGGATAATACTGGGTATGTTGTTGTTGTTGACATGGGGAGTGCTCATATTTTGGTGGTTCACTTACAACAGACTTGCTCTTATTGAGAAATGTTGGCTGTCTAAAATCTTGATACTAGTATTTACTTTAAACCAAATTGTATTAGCAACACTTGATGAATCTTATAACTTATGAAACTGTTGAGAAATCTGAGTGATTCTATATGAACTCTTTAAATTTTTTGCAAAATCTAATTCCTTCATTTGTGTTATAGGTTGAAGGATCTCCATCAAAGGTGTAACAAAGAGATGGATGCTTATGCTGGATGCATGTACTACAACACAAATGAGTTTGAGATGTGTCGTAAAGAGCAACAGGAATTTGAGAAGGCCTGTCCTTATTGATTGGCTGGGAAATAACGTTTTTATTTTATCAAATAATGACTTGAATGTATTTGCAACGAGAAGATCGTTTTGCTGTAAGCACCTTTTGATCAAATATGTTACTGTGGCTGGACCCCTATCACAGGGAAGTTGCCTATTTGATGTTGCTCTCAAATTGCCTTCCTACATGAAAGCATAAACGGCTATTCATCAACCACTCAACATTATGTGTTTTCTGGCCATAATTTGGAATTTGGATCAATCATTCTTCTAGGGAATTTGGAATGCAGTCTCTTCCTCTATAGTTTTGTTTCTCGGACGTATATATTGTTTTTGTCTTTCGAATATACATTATGTTTCTACAGTTTTGAATTCACTTATCATATGCAGATAGTCACATCTCAGTTATATAAGCTAAGGAGTACTCCCTCTGTCCAAAGAAGAATAGTGAGATATTGAGTATGAGCGAAAATCTATTTGATTTTTGATATAGATTTGAGTTTCATTCCTTAAATTTCTTACAAACAATGTTGACATATTATGAAACTTAAGCGAAAGTACTACTCCCTCCGTTTCAGTTGATGTGAACCTATTTCCTTTTTGGTCCGTTCCAAGAAGAATGGTCCCTTTTTAAATTTGGAAACAATTTAGCTTAAACTTTCAATTCTACCCTTAATGAGAAACTTTTATAACCAATACTTGGGTCCCTTTTTGACATGTTTAGGATTACAAATTTCAAAAGTCTTTTATTTTTTCTTAAATTGCGTGCCCAATCAAACAGGTTTACACGGAGGGAGTATGATATTTACTTTTTTATAAGTAAAAATATGGGAAACGTTTGAACAAAGTTGTAGTTAAAGATTGTTTGATTCCTCGATAATAATCGATTATTCTCTTTCCTCAATTACTTATAGTTAATAGGAGCTGGATTGCACATTGTTCATTGATTTGGCTAAAGAGTTCTAAAAACATAGTGAACTTTAAGTCCAATAAAAGAACACGAGGGGTGTATGTATAAATTTTACAAACCTCATGGGTCCAAGTAATATTACACGCTTTTATAAAAATCTCAGCTTTCTTTTCTTTAATGCCAAAGTATTTCTGCTGCTTATAATCTGCTAAAACCTTGGGAGCTTGAGACTTCCTTCTCCCTAAGCCCAGAGCTTTTCTGGTGCACCCAATCTACCAAACTCTAGTTCAAAGTAGTGTACTGATTTTTCTTTACTTTGATTAATAGCATACTATAAAAGCAGAACTAGTAGTAGCAGACTCTTTTAAGACTCAAGAAAGTGAGGTAAGCTCAACTTTCCACCCTTCCCTCTGGATAAAAAAATTCATTTCAAAGTTTATTTGGTTTGTCAGGACTGTTTTCTTCTTTTTTTACTCTCTCTCTCTCTTTTTTTTTTTTTACCCTAAGATGGAATTTTGGGCTCAGTTTTTTGTGAATTCTTGATTTTTCATGGAAGGTAGTTTTAAAACCTTGGTGTATGGAAATTTTGTGGTCATATAGGTTGGTCATGTCTGTTCGAAGTGGAGGGTGGGGGAGGGAAGGTGACGACGTGTGGTTGGGGGGGGGGGGGATAGGAAGGTAGGGACGGGTGTAGGTTTCTTTGTAGTGCTATTATGTGAATTGCTTATGCGACTCTGTGAGAATTGGTGGCAATGACCAAAAAGGTTACTGGCAAAACGGTGAATTGCTTTTCTGGTTCATCTTGATTTTAATTCCTCAACTAGTTAAATTGAAATTTGCAGGACAACTCTGAGTTGCAAAAATTGCGTTCTCACTGTTGCCAGCTGGTTGACAGAAAGCAAGGAGAAAGAGATGCTCCAGAATTTTCCAGCTGTGACATATACTCCATGGCAGCCATCTCAAAATGATTCCTACTTCAAGTCTTTGCTATGTCAGAATTTCTTATCTTTTTAAGTTGTAGCTTGAAAGAATATCTGATGCAAATGTTTTTTTCTCTGTCATTAACCACCACTTAGTGAGTGGAGGAAATATCTTTTGTTGGTTACTTTCATGTGCAACCCATATGATGCATACACTAGTAAATATGGAAGTCCTCAGTCTTTAATATGCTCTAGGAGATTACGAATTCTTGTTAACTCATCGGTTCCCAGAAAAAAAAAATTAGTGAAATTTATGAAAGTTCTGTATATCTTAGTATAAGGACCTTTTGTGGAGAATATTTCATGTGGCTTCCATTTTCAGGTGCTTGTCCCAGCGTGGTTGTATATAAGAAGTCACTACAATGGCCTTATTTGCCTACTCTAAAGGTGCCTTTTCCCTCTGTTCTAGATTATGTTGTTTTGCTCAAATGATTTTTCATTTTTTTGCTTTCATATTTTTTTTCGAGCTATAATTATATGAAGCAAGTAGTATCATAGCATATGTATAAGTACTCAGCACTATGCTTTCATGATTATGTTGTGCAACTTTTACTCTTTCTTAGTTGGGTGTTGTCCAAGTATAGTGGACAGTATAGTCAGATTTCCGCTTCAGTAATTAGTGCCCTACAGTACTGTGTCCAGGGGAAACTCATTCGTCTCTTGATCTTCTCATGTGCCTTCTGAAGAATAAAGGATGATATATTTCAAGAAGAGAAGTTGAGTCCAAAGTTCATGCAGATTGTGCATTCATGCATAGTGGAATTGGGAATTATTTGTGATGTTTGTCCCAAGAAAGCATGATTGTAGCCAAATTCTCTTAGTTATCACGCAACATAAGAACAACTTATTTATCTTGTCATGATCAATAAAGTGTTCTACCTTCTATCATGAGTAATTATATCATGCTACGGTGCTGTCGCGTGAATACCATAAATCCAATCTAATGTACCTTTTTGATGAAGAATCCAATCTAATGTACCTGTAGAGAAGGAAAAGGAAAACCAACAAGAAAGTAGAAAATCTGTGTCAGAGGTTATATAGAAGGAAACCTGTCTGTTAATTGAATAATAACTTGCTTTCCGTTAGACACTTTTTAAGGTGGAGAGATATTTTAGTGAATAGAGGCTTGGATTGAAAGAGCTCTTGGTGAGCTACTTTTTGTAAGGAAAGCAATGCAATGGAGGTTGAAAGCACAAGTTTGTGATTGGTGTCACTTGTCAGCATGAAATTTTCAGATTCGGACTGAAGGTCGCTACAGTTTTACAATTTTCCAAAAGAGAAACATGAATGAGTTTCTTTTTGAGTACAGGCACCCAAGCTAATGATTTTTTTCTCAACTGTCAAATGTTCTTCTTATAGGCTCTGTATATCTGTGCCAAAAATCGAGAGATGTACATGTGCGAGATACTTTATACTTACTTATTTTTGAGAAAAAAGCTTCATTATGTGTTTTTCAAAAAGTAAAGTGTGACTGTGGTGTTGTATGTAGCATAACTGCGCTCTGATTAAACTTAGTAATAATTTCGTGTTTTGAGATTTTGGCCTTATGTATTCTCCTTATGTTTGATGTGAAGGCTAAAGTATTTTGTTTCTGGCTGCAGTTTGATCGTAGAGATCATGCTACTGGTCCAAGAAGACAAGTAACCATTTCTTGTACTGATAGGAGGCATCCCCAAGGTCGAAACTCTAAGAAACGTGAAGCTGTGCAGCAGAATGTGGATCTTCCCCCAGTCCTGCCCAAGAAAAAGAAGAAGCCGTATCCCATGCCTCTGAAGAAAATTCAGCAGGCTGCTAGGGCTGATAAGAAGCTGGCAGAAATGGGAATAGAAAAGAAGCTTGAACCCCCTAAAAATGGATTGCTTGTACCTGACCTAATTCCGGTGGCTTATGAAGTATTAGATGCTTGGAAACTTTTGATTAAAGGACTTTCACAGCTTCTCCACTATGTTCCTGTCCATGCTTGTAGGTAACTTTAAAAAATGATAGTTATTGATTTCTGAACACTGTTCAATTGTAAAGTTAATGAGCAGCATTTCATTTCTCTATCAACTAACCTTCTTAGTTTTTTCCTGCAGTGAATGCTCACAAATCCATGTTGCTCAAAGTGGTAACGACATTCAGGATTGCCTTGGCCCGACCAACAGTAGTCGCAGAAGCTTCCACTCATGGGTGAAGGGTTCAATTAATGATGTGCTAATTCCTATCGAGTCATACCATATGTATGATCCTTTTGGCACACGCATTAAGCATGAGACACGGTTCAACTATGACAGAATTCCGGCAGTTGTAGAACTTTGCATCCAAGCTGGCGTGGATCTGCCGGGATATCCTTCACGGAGAAGGACTAAACCCATCAGAATGATGGGAAAGAAAGTGATCGACATAGGTGGATTAGTTGAGGAGCCTAGACCCTCTGTAGACTCGAGTTCGGTAATTATAGACCTTGACACCCATCGATCTTTTGAACGGTTTGCTCCACCATTGGAGTCAGAGGTGCCACGTATTGCCCAGGAGACAATTGATGCATATGAGAAAGTGAAATGGGGGGTGACTAGGTTGATGAAGAAGTACACTGTCAAAGCTTGTGGATACTGTTCAGAGGTCCATGTGGGGCCGTGTGGTCACAATGCTAAGCTCTGTGGCGAATTTAAACACCAATGGAGGGATGGAAAACATGGCTGGCAAGATGCAACAGTGGATGAGGTATTTCCCCCAAATTATGTGTGGCATGTTCGAGATCCAAAAGGAATCCCTTTGAGGAGTTCACTAAAGAGGTTCTATGGGAAGGCTCCAGCTGTGGTTGAAGTTTGTATGCAGGCTGGTGCTCAAATACCTCACAAGTATAAGCCTATGATGAGGCTAGACATTGTGCTCCCCGAGAGTGAAGAGAGTCGCCTAGCCGTGTAAGATTCCTAACTGTTATACAGACCCTAATGTATGCACTGCTTGCTATATTAAGATGTATCTGGACCAAAATAGAGCAGTCACGATATTGCTGGATCGGTTGCAGTATGTGTTTTGCCTTTGTTAAGTGAGGATCATGGCACCCATTTCAACTTGGAATATCAATGTCCACATGATATGATTCAAAATGGTTCAAATTTGGTAGGGCAATGCTTTTCTTTTCTAGTTAACAAGTTTTGCAGAAGGAAATTGGTTATACTAAGAAATTAGAGTACAGTGGTGCAAGTTACCAAGCATAGCTGCAAATCACATTGACAGTCAACTTGAGGTTCAACTGTTAGTAAGTACATTTATGAGATAGCTGTAACTAGTGATCTGTATTTATGCCTTGAGGTTAGCTTGTTACAGTGTAAAATTTCTGAATTCATCAAATCAGGTCTTAATCTTTCTACATTATTTGAACTTCAGAGTTCATAAAATCAATATACAAATATATTTTTGCAATAGCAGCCTATTTTGCGATTGAGTATGGCATTTCGCTATTGAAAACTGCAAGAGTGGGCAAAGATGGAAAAATTGAATGAAATAGGTTCTCTTCTCCAACAATAATCAGAAATGTGTACATTTCTTTCCTTTCTGTTGGGCACTAGCATCTCAAATTCTTTCCTCTATACAATACAGTGTGTAAAAGCCTCTCGATGGGACAGGATTTCCACAAAAGCAGGATCAGTTCATTTGTACTGCAAAATAAGCTAAGCTATAATTTAACTGCTACACTGTCAAGAGGCTTCCAAGAAACTGTCGAAGAGGTAAAGCGATCCATTCCAAGCATCCATCCAGCCCGGAGGTGGGTATGGTACAGAAAAAGAATTGCTGCCAAGGTAGTCCTCAGGCAGCAGGAGCATATTCCTGGATGACTGCTGCCAATTTATCTCGATCCTCCCCGGTTTTCGTTCTTATCAAGAATGTCCGTGCGACCACAGCATCATCATTATCACCATCACCCTAAGGACAAGCAACCAGTTAATGCAGTTGGAAATAGAACTAAGTTCTTCAAGTTTTAGCATTATTGTTTTAAGTAAATTGGGAAAAAAACTTGAAGAATGGTATTTACAATGAGTGCTGAACTGCCAACTGTCTAAGCTTTCAAGAACCACAGTAGTTAAACTTCCACTTACAGGGAGTTGTTCAAATTGGCGAGCATTTTCTAAGAATGAGATGGATTCGTGGTTTAGAAATTTTACCGAGGTATGAAATATTGCAACAATGGAGTTCTTCTGCATGTTTGTTTTAATGCCTGGATATAACAATGCATTAAGCAAAATCTTTCCAACCTGCAACAAGTATAAAATACGCCAAAAGAAAAGTTAGGTGTAATCTTCTTTTTCGATAAGCAGAAAGGTTAAGGTGTGATCTAGTTCTCCTGTCTGAAGAGCAAGATTAAAATACTCCTTTCCCAAAAAGTGCAATAGCAAGCAGTTAATTATCCAGCATTATCCCCCCCAGACACGGGAAAAATACTTTTTTAACTCAGGGCCTGTTCAGACACTAGGGTAAAGAAAGGGAGGCAAATGTAGGAGAAATAAGAATCTTGTTTCTTTTATTTGGCTATTTGCTTTGTGGCAAGTCAGAGAGAAGTGAAAATTGTCTTCTTGACCAATTCAATACGGCCCTTAAGAGTAAATGACATCCCAATTTTCCACTGTTTATGTTACCTCTAGTATTATTCTTTTTCGTTCTTTTTTATAACAGAGGTGCCCGTGGTGACATGTGAGCCTCGACTATTCCACTAGATACCTGCTATCTCCCGTCCCGGTAGTCGCCCACTAAGGCTGTGGCAAATGTTATCTTAGTTATTAGTACTAAATTAAATAAACCCTGAAGAGAGGGGAAAGCTAAAAGTTAAACTGAACATACTGCTACTGCGATTCCCATTTCACAGTTCTGCCTTTATAGTTCAACTGACAAATATATGCGTCCCTTCCTACTCAAAGATACAAAGAAAAAAAGCAGAATAAACTAATAGAGAATAGAAGGATATTATTTCCTTGTTGGGACTAGGGTTTATTTCATTTTACTTTACTTTGGGTGGGTACGGGGGTGCACTGGAAGCGACAAATGGTAGGAACTTACATCATTTCGTATCACAATAGTTGGTTTGGATTCCCGGGTACCTTTGCTAACACCTTCTTTACACTTAATAGAAAGCTGACCAGTGCCCCTGTCTTTCCATGCATCTTTATCAGCTGGATCAGTTGACTGAGCAAATGGAATTAGGAAAAAAGAGAGAGGAAGAGATGTCATAAATAGAGCAGATAACAGATCACACAAGACAACTCAAATTCAACATATTAGTTAAAAAAACTCAAACTCAACATAATTTTAATACAAATAAAAATAAGTCAATAGCTTGAATTTGAATCTCGAAAAGAATCTTCATGGCCAAACTTATAGAATGATCCACTAGAAGCATGAAACTATAGTGCCTTAATGACAAGAGGCTGATTTCAATGAATAAAGTAAAAAAGTTAAACGACAACGAAAAAATGGTGATAATAAGATGAGAATCTGATCCAAAAAATGTTATATCAGATCACAGCAAGAGAATGTAGCAATCTGTATAAGAATTTTCTGTAGCATAAGAATGTCCTTTTATACAAAACTTAAAGCAATCTAATGCAAGAAAAAATGCAGTCATACATGCGAAACACAAAAGAATACAACTAATTGGACATGACTCTTGTGACTCGCTCAGTGTGCTTCACCTGCTGAAGCTACCCTTGCACATACCATAGAGCAATGTAACTATTATTATAGAGAATGTTGGGAAGGCTAAAGAATATCAGCTATTACATGTCTCACACACGATTTGACCACTACAGTCCTACAGTTCAGTTCATTGGTCACTTGTTGTCAACATGAGACATGCATAAGTTACTCCTCAAACAAAAATTGACGAGACAAACCGCAGTTTAAATAAAAACCAAAAGTGTTACTCCCTCCAATTCAATTTATGTGAACCTATTTGACTGGGCACGGAGTTCAAGAAAGAAAGGAAGACTTGTGGAATTTGTGGTTTTAAATCGACCATAACATTTGTGTGGCTGTAAAAGGTTTTTATTAAGGATAGATAGGAAATTGAAGTTAAATTTTTTTCAAATTTTGAAAGGGGTCATTTTTTTGGAACGGACTAAAAATGAAATAGGTTCACATAAACTGGAATGGGATGAAAAAAAGATAGTACATCACAAGACAAAATATAGCTGAAAGTTTAAAGACCTGAAAAATGGGTAGTAACCATCCAGTAATATTATTACAACACCAAAAAGAACTACACATGATATATTTCTCTCTGAACAGGAGTAAGCACTTGATATGTTACCTTCACATAAAGTTTACATTTGACTTCGTGGACTAAAGTGACTCCCTGTTCTTCACTCTTCTTCACAGATGGGCTGCTTGGCTGCTCCACTTCATCTTCTGCATAAACTCCACCAGTTAGGGAGCAAACAAAAAACAAAAAATTTCACAATCTTCTGAGGCCGATAATGAAAGAAGAAGAAGAAAAAATAGTCCCCAGAAAACTCTTCAAGATAAAATCGATTGATTATGTTTCTTCAACTTCATTAGTCTATACAAAAACTATACAGGGTCAGTCGCGTCCAGACTGTGTATACGAAGGTATTCATTTTTCTTCCTGTTGCACTTCTTTTGCAAAAGGGAAAACAATACCCTGTCCATTTTAAAAGGTTAACACTAGGTATGACTTGGCTTAGTTAGTCTCTGATTGACCTGTTTTCAGCTTTAGAAATACTGAAATATCAGCGCTGGCCCAATATTATTCTCCCATTCATTCTGTAAATCAGTCATTAACCAGTAGTTGCTAGAAATCTGTTACATCAAGATGACCTTTCAGTGACAAAATTCTCAAACTTAATTGAATGGGAGCAAAAAAGAACAGATAGTAGTCTCAACTCCAAAGCTCGTGTTCTAAAATTCCAAAAGACAATAAGACAATGTTATTTCCCTTCTACTGTCTAAGGCTGCTCCAATAGGAGCAACAAGAACATAATGGGCCATCCTTAATTAGAGACGGGGAGAATCAAGTAATACAAAGAAACTCTTCAAGCAGTGCTACTAGTCAACATTATGTTATATTCTCAAAGCATTAGGCACTTAACCTCCACCAACCATATGGCCACATGACTCTGTGTCATAACCCAAAGGAAATGACTAATAAATCATCAACAGTCTTGCATGTGATATGAAAATAAGGTGAATCTGAAACTCTCATATGATGAAAGATAAGAAAAACCAGGACTAATCTACTTGATTCCCCCCCCCCCCCCCCAACCCACCATCACAATATGTCAAACGGGAAAACAGACAATTATCTAGAGGACTTAATAATCAAAATAAAATAATGAACACATAATGAGTATCAAGCAACACAATAGATAAAGTGATAACATATAATTTGACCTAGAAAAATCAACTGAAACATGAAATCTCCAAACCTTACCAGCATCTTGGACATCGTTTGCAGCATCATTTTTCACAGGTACCGAATTTTGGGTTTGTACCGAAGATTGAAGTCCTAAAAAGGATTAGCAAGTTCAGCAGTGAAATTGAAGTACTACAGTCATATATACATTATGATAAATCCATTTCATGTGATTAAAAGCTATTTTGACAACAGAGAAAGGTTATATGAGCATGAAAAGACTGAGTGGAAAAACAATATCATAATATATCGCAAATAATTATTTAATCATAAAAGTAGTTGATGCGGCAGTCACTTCTGCTTTCCCCAATTATATGTTCCACCACACAATATGATTACCTTTGGTCAAGCATAATAATATAGTTTTTGTGTTCTCATAACTCGAAAGGTTACACCATTTGGTAAATCGAAAATAAATTGGTCCATCCCAATCCTTCTTAACAGCCGCATTAGGTTATAATGCATCAGGTGCAAGCTCGATCTCTTACTTCACTCTTCAGAAAAAAATATGATATTAAAAATAGCCCATTCCGAGATGTAATGATGATTAACAGATTCTAAATGACTGGTCCATTTATCATAGAGCTACTGCGGGAAACAGACAACAGAGAAGTGTCACAACTGAGTATTAAATTAAAAATTCCATAAGAAATGACACCAGTTCAGATTTTTCTTGAATTAACTTGAGCTACAAAACAGCAATGAGCTAATTTGCTCGAAGAACAAGCTAAATACTAGAAGGTGCGAGAGGTTAGCCTCAGTGGGTATCAGCCTATCAGGAGGACTACCTACTAGCCTAAGAAGTCTTGGGGAGAGGTGATTGCGCAGCTGGAGCTGACTGAGGACATAGCCCTAGATAGGAGGGTGTGGAGGTCGAAGATTAGGGTAGAAGGCTAGTAGGTAGTCGAGCGTTTCTCTTTGTCTCACTCAGTTCGCTAGCATTAGCGTTAGTATGATATCCTTTTATTCATAGATTGATATTACTACCTAGAGTTTAGCGGCTTTCTTGGCTTCAGTCTTATTTTATCTTGTTGTTATTCCTACTTGTTGCCATAACTTTTTTCATCCATTCTCCAGCAGAGGGTCTATCGGAAACAACCTCCTTCCAAGGGTAAGGCTGCGTACATCTTACCCTTCCCAGACCCCACTTGTGGGAAATTACTGAGCTTGTTGTTGTTGTTGTACATTGTTATAAAATAAAGATACCAAAACCATTTCTTTTAGAAAGGTAACAAAATAAAGATACCAGAACTATTCATCAGAAGAAAAAAAAAGAGAAAAAAGAAGCAACATAAAGCATCCAGGATAAAGAAGACTTACCAAATGAAAAGGGAGATTTGTTGTTAAAGAGACCTCCTGAGCTCCATGATGTACCAAAACTTGAAGATGAATTAGCCAGACCACCGAAACTTGGAGATGAATTAGCCACAGCCCCAAAACCTGGAGATGAATTAGCCACAGGAACAACAGGTTTGAGAAAAGATAATCTACCATCATTCTCCTTAGTTTCTGACTCTAGGGTCTTCGAAGCAGCTTGGGATCCCAGTGCAGATTTATTTTCTCCATTGGAAGAATTAGCTTTTAGCCAATTCACAATGTCACTAAACTTATCCTGCAATTGAATGGCCACAATTGAAAAACCACCAGCATACGAGGAAACATCTATCAAGCCCTATGCACGCTCAATTCGACATGAAATCTTTTACTCAACTAGCAACATTCTAGGTGTTATTTTAAAATTTAAAAAAAAATGTTTGGTATTCAAGTAGATGATATGCTTTTCCAACAAAATCTTGCTGAAATATGTTGGCTTACCCTATCATCAATGAATTAGCAGATATAATTGTATCAATATGGGGAAATAGAATAAGCAACACATCCCCAACCAAAGCAATTTATAAAAGTATCTTTGGAGAGTGTGTGTGTGTGTGGAGAAACATTCATACAAACTATCTGGGAAAAAAAATTGGAGAGTGGAAATCTGAGAGATGCCGAAGATACCTTGATAGTTGAAGAATGGTTTAAGTAGTCTTGAACTCCATCTTCCCAAAGTTCATCAGGGTGGTTCTGTAACTGTGTTTGGACCCAACTGCTCACAAAAAACAGTAGTATCCACTAGTTAAATACAGATCTATGTCTGCGACAGCTTTTTATCCTCCAATGAGACAAGCGACTTGAATGGAGATAAACAAGAAAGAAAACAAAACTTTCTCATAAAGGAGAAGAACCAGTGAGTTAACAAACATCAAGGAAAACATAGCTTGACATGCTGCTACGGTGCTACCATATTTTAACGGAATGAGTAAGACTCTAGGGAGAGAAAGCATTTTTTTTTTATGAAGTAAGAGAATTTCATTAAAAGCATCAAGAAGATGCATAGCAAAAGAGAGTACAAGTAAATAAAGTGTGTCCGCTCATAAACAACAACAAAAATAAACCTATGTTAAACTAAGGAGCAGACACAGTCCAAAAAATGATCACAACTAGATACATATGCCTGATTAAGCCAAGTAAAAATGTTCAATAAACATTTAGCTTTAAGAGCATGGTTTGGAGTTGATATCCCATCAAAACATCTGCTATTCCTTTCAGTCCATATACACCGAAAAATAGAAGCGGGGATCAAGAGCCAAGTTTTTTTGATGGATTTGCCAACTCTCCAAGAGCACCAGCTTTCGTAGGCCTCTTTAATACTATTAGGCATGACCCAGGCTAGTCCAAAAATTGAGAAAAACATACTCCACAAATCTGCTGCAACTGCACAATGGAGAAAAAGATGCCTCACACTCTCTGCCTTAATCTGACACATGTAGCACCTATTCACTATGTAGATGTTCCTTCGACTTAGATTATCTTGAGTGAGACATGCTTCATATAAGGTTATCCAAGTGAAGCCAATTACTTTAGGTGGAAGTTTAGTTCTCCAGATGAGTTTCCATGGCCAGTTGTCAATCAACTCCTTGTTCGAGCACAAATGTGCATAACCTTTCTTGACAGTGAATATCCCATCATGTTGAACATCCCATAATAGTTTGTCTCTCTCCTGAGGTTTGATAGTGACACCCGCTAGCTTAGATTGAAGCTCCAGATAGTCATTTAGCTCCCAGTCCTGTAAGTTTCTCCTTGTTTGTAGGTCCCATGAGTTGTTGTGCCATATTTGACCCACAGTGGAGTTTTGATTGCTAACTATGAGATATAAATTTGGGTAGTCTTCTTTCTGAGTCTGGTTCCCTAACCACTTATCCTTCCAGAATGATACACGTGCTCCATTCCCTAGCTTTATTGAACAGTTGGCTGGAATTCATCCCATAGGCTTGAGATATGCTTCCAGGGACCAGTGCCATGTGGTAACCTGCTCTGTTTGGTGCACTATTGACTCTGCACCCCATACTTTGCCATGATCACATCTTTTCACATCCCAGTATTCTCAATGTTATACCTCCAATGCCACTTCATTAGCATGCTCTTGTTGTGCAATGCTAGGTCTTTTATGCCCAATCCTCCATGCTCCTTTGGCAGAAATACTCTTGGCCATTTCACCAGATGAAATTTGTTGTTTTGACTATTAAGTTTCTTCTAATTTTGTCTAGCCCTTTCTGCACCCTGGCTGGTATAGGAAATAGGGACATGAAGTATGTTGGTATGCTGTCCAGGACACTGTTAATGAGTGTTATTCTGCCCCCTAGTGAAAGATACTGCATTTGCCAAGTTTCAAACCTTTTTTCAAATTTCTCTACTATCCCATTCCAGATATCTGGTTACTTGACTTTGGCTCCAAGTGGTAGACCCAAATATGTTGTGGAAAAGATCCCACATTGCAACCCATTAGCTCTGCTAGCTCCTCCATATTTGGGACTGTGTTTACAGGGTAAATAGTGCTCTTCAATCTGTTCATGTGGAGGCCGGATATAGCTTCAAAAATCATGAGTGTGATGTTAAGATAGAGCACTTGCGACCTATCAGCTCCACAGAAAATAAGCGTGTCATCTGCACACAAGAGATGAGAGACACTAATTGAGCTCCCAACTAAACTTTCCACCTTGAAACCCTCCAACCAGTGTATTTGGTTTGCTTTGTCAAGCATTTTGCTAAGGCCTTCCATTGCCAAAATGAACAAAAAGGGTGAGAGGGGATCCCCTTGTCTCAATCCTTTCTGTGAGGAGAAGAACCCAACTGGACCTCCATTGACAAGAACTGAATACTTCACAGTTGTTACACAAAACTTGATCCACCTGATCCAACCTGCACCAAACCCCATCTTCCTAAGTATATTGAATAGGTAATACCAGTTTAGCTGGTCAAAGGCCTTTTCAATATCAAGTTTGAAAAGGAGACCTGGCTGCCCTGATTTCTGTCTCCAGTCTAGTACCTCATTAGCAATTAGTGCAGCATCATTGATTTGTCTTGTTTTGATGAATGCATTTTGATGTCCTGAGACAAGCTTCCCAATCACTCTTTTCAGTCTTTCTGCTAGGATTTTGGAGGCAATCTTGTATACACTTCCAATTAAGCTGATAGGTCTATAGCCCTTGAGTTCTATTGCACCTTTCTTTTTGGGAATCAGTGCAATAAAAGAGGCGTTGCATGACCTACCAGTGCTCCCATTATATCTTCTTTAATTATCTCCCATGATTTCTGATAAAATACCATGGTGTAACTATCTGGACCTGGAGTTTTGTCTGGAGCACACTCTTTAATGACTGCTATAACCTCCTCTTCTGTAAATGCTCTCTAGCCACACTTTTTCTTCCCCTGTGATTGTTGCAACATCATCAAACCTTGTTGTAGGTCTCCAATTCTCATTTTCCGTGTAGAGTTGCTGATAGAAACTAAGAATTTCACCCTTGATGAGATCTTTGTCTTATGTAATTTCATCCCCTACTTTCAGTCTGTCAATTCCATTTGATCTTCTGTTGGAATTAGCCATTTTCTGAAAAAACTTTGTGTTCCTGTCGCCTTCTTTGAGCCACAGGCATCTTGATTTTTGCCTCCATGATACTTCTTCTGCTTTGGCCATTTGCTCCACTTCCATTTTTAGGCTTATGAACTTCTCTTTCTCTTCCTGAGTTTGTGCTCTACCTTCAGTGTTCTGTTGCAATGTGAGAAGGTCTTCTAGTGCTTTCCTTTTCTTAAGCCCTATCAATCCCAATTCCTCCTTATTCCAGATGGTAAGATTTTTTTTGAGTAGCTTGAGTTTTTGAGTAAGAATAAAGTCGGGATTGCCATTGACTGCATAGCTCTGCCACCATGCCTTGACTTTATCCATGAAGCTCTCCATCCCCAACCACATGTTCTCAAATTTAAAGTAAGAAGGGTTAGTGTTCCGGTCACCACATTCTAGCATGAGTGGAATGTGATCAGAGATGACATTAGGGAGAGCATTCTGATTGATTTTGCTAAGGAATCATTCCATTCATTTGAGATAAAAAATCTATCTATTCTAGATGCTTGAATGGTATCCTCCCCTCTAGTCCATGTGTAAAAAGCCCCCTGTAAAGGGAGATCCACCAAGCAAAGATCCTGTATTACATTTGAAAATTTTCGCATGGCCCTGGATCTTCTCACACAATTTAGTCTCTCATTTTTGAATCTGCATACATTAAAATCACCCCCTATCACCCATTGATCAGGCCAAATCCCTCTTATAGCTCCAAGTTCATTCCACAACTCTTCCCTTTCAATGTTAGTGTGCGGCCATAGACCCCTGTAAAGCACCAACTGAAGACCTCATTTAGACTTTCCAACATACAAGGGATAGAGTAAGTCCCCTGCTGTATTTGAGAGCAATTCCATTGTCTTCTATCCCACATGATGATGATCCCACCCCTAGTACACTGGCTTTGAGTTCAGCCCAATCGACCCATCTGTTGCCCCAAATCTGCCTATCTAAGAATCTGTTCCACTCTTCTAATTTAGTTTCTTGAAGACAGAGAACATCTGGTTTCCACTCACTGATTAATGATTTAAGAGTGTCCCTCTTCCCGTTGTTATTCAACCCCCTTATGTTCCATGTCAAAATCTTAACTTTCATCCAGAAAATGATTGGTATTTCCTACCCTTGTTCTTCTTCTCACCCCATCATAATTCACCGAGCAGATCAATCTCTTGGCTTCAGTTTCTCCCTTCGTCTTCTTTGCTAGGGAGAAAGCATTACTTCAATTAGATCCGTTTTCCCCAATCCATTATGTGAAAGCATTCTTTTCCTTTTTGTTTTATTTATTTATTTAAACTTTTGGTATTGCTTTCTTCTTTCTTTGTTTTTTTTTTGGGTGGGGGGAAGGAGGGGTAAGTTGCAGGAAGAATGTACAGAGATAGAATAACCATAGAGGGCATGACAAAATTACTTCTTGAGAAGCAAAGTAGTTGAAACAGAAAGATGAGAGACCTTGCAAACTGAGTATTGAGAGCTCTCGCATGCTGTCTAGATGACTCAGCCCTTTGCATATCTAACTGCGGAGTCTTCATTGTTTGTGGCAGGGATTGTTCAGCCTTTTGTGAATCAAAAATTGATCCCGCCATTATTCTTTTGCCCTGAAACTGCTTTGAAACCAGAAAACAAGAGATATAAAAAAGGGTCAGCCCAACTATCCAAAAAAGCTTCTCTTAAGATTACACAACCAAGACGCCCCCAATTTGCTAATTTCTAAAGATGCAAAGTTCAACATCATATCCCTTGATGCATTGCAATAATTTAAACAATTTCTTTTGGAAGCAAAATCAAAACTTTATTTATTCTCCAATCCAAACAAATGGTAACAACTCTAAAAAAATCAAATCAACTACCGCTCAATCCCAAATGATCTGTATTACCGCTGGGTTCACTCAATCAGTTACAGTAGTAAATAATTTGTATTTCAAGTAAATGAAGTGTCTGGAAACCATGACGGCTAGGGTTCACATCCGAGCGGAGCCAAAAAAGATTAAAAGTGATTTATTCCCATATGCCCAGGCATTGGTCGGCAAAATTACCTAGTACCTAGTGGAAGAGTCGAGGTGCGCAAGCTGACCATGACACCACTGTCATATAAAAAACAAAATCTACATAAAACTCAAACCTTTAGAAAATACAAAAAATGCTAGCTTTACACAAATTTAACACACTTTCCTCCTTTAAACAGTTGAAAGCTGAGAATTGAGAACAACATGGAAGCTCTAATCAATGAATAAACTACGGTATCCGTTCCAAATTAGTTACTTTCGGCTATATGATTATTCCTATACACCTTCCACTTTGTTCACGGCCAGTTCATTCCATTACTAAATAATTCATCATTTAACTAAATCAACAACTCTAATATCTAAAAAATTCAAGCACTAAGAATATCAACCCAAAAAAAAGCTCCTTTAAATACTTGAAAACTAAGAATTTAGCATTAGTATAACAGAGAACAAACTCACTGAGTCGGTAGTGAACGAGTTGGAATCGGACGCCGCAAATCGTTTAGTTCCTCTCATGATTGACAAAATCAAACACAAATTCGATTTCTGAATTCACAGAGAATTTAGCTTTTGGCAATGTTTTCAATATTTTTAAAAATTAGGGTTTTTCTTTTTCGAATGAACAGGGGTGTAAGAGGGAAATGGATATTTGGGCCGTGAAATTGGGTTTTGGGGCACTAATGTTATTCAATTTGGATCGTTAGATTGGATTTATTAGGGCTAACGGACGTGATACCGCCGTTGGGGCCCGGCCCTATAACGTTTTTAAGTGTAGCTGTTTGGTAATCATTTAACGGGCACTAAAAACTGCTGTAATTTTCACGTGGGACATGTGGCATTGTCTTTTTAGCAGTCTAATTTCACATACCCTTCATTCCCCAGCCAAACACCAAAGATATTGGTGGGACCCAGTACTTGAAATTAAAAATAATAATTCAAAAAGATGAGAGTTTACACAAAAGGCCTTTTATAAGAAGTATGGGTCCATGGTTCGGTTTGGATCGATTTTTTCCTAAAAAACAATCAAACCAAGTAAGTCGGTTATTTTTTGATTAAAATCAAAACCAAATTAAATTTGATCGATTTTTAAAATTCAAAATAAAAACCAAACCAAACCTAAAAAGTATTAGTTTTTTTATTGGTTCGGTTTGATTTTCGGTTTAGTTCTGTTTTTCGGGCTCTTATGAACACCTCTAATAAGAAGCCCAATAAGCAACACCAAGGACAAATGAGTTATAGCCTGCGAAGCTTCTAATATTATCTTATTTTAAAAAATGCTAAGTAAATTTGGTAAGAAATAGTTTGTGTTTAGTTAATTAATTTAAAAAGTACTTTTGAGCAACAATTAGTGTTGGCTAAACTTTTAAAAAGTGTTTTCGTTGTCTATAAAGTGCTTTTAAAAAAAATACTTTTAGAAAGAAACTATCTTTTCTGCTTTTTAAAATCTACTTCTGCTTCTATTCAAAAGTATGTTTTTTTTCTTTTAAAAATTTAGACAAACACCTAAACTTTGGAAAAAAAAATTTGGCTAAATTTTTTTTTTTTAATCTAAAACAAGCTTGGCCAAACAAACTATTAAAGTGCGGTCACATGCTTAATTAGAAATGAGCTAGGCTTTTGGTCAAATTGTTGAAAGGTACCACTTTTTTCTTAGTACTATGTGCTGTAGATAAAATAAAAGCACAAGTTCGTACTAAATGATGAAATTAGGCTTGTTTTATTTATCGCATGTTTTGTGGGACCTTTATTAAGTCGATTCATAATAGAAGAAGGTTCCAGCTGATAAAATATTATTTGACTACAAGTAACTAAAAAATATATTAAAAGTATATATGGAGTAGCTTACACAGCTTGTGGACTGTATTATATGGTGACAGATTATTAATGAAACCATAAAACAGATAATAAGAAAATAAAGTTACTGGAGATATCTTTGGGAAGAAATTAGAAACTTAAAAACAAATAATAAGCAGACATTGGTTTCCTGCTGATATTTATGTCAATTTTTTTGCACTAAAAATCAAATCTACTCTTTCAATGTAAGGAACAAAATAACACCAGTCTACATCAACCAAAGAAATGGGGATCAAGAGAAGGAATATACTATATTCCATTCTATATATAGACAAACATAGAGCTTTTGTTATATTCCTATGTTTTTATGACAAAAATAAAGTCCAAATATTTCTAAAGAAAGCAGAGAGGTTCATGAAGACAAAAAGGATAGAGGACAAAAGAAATGGATAGCAGCAACTACCAATAAACTTACTTCAGCTAAGAATTATTACATTTGAGGATTTTTTTACATTTGAAGCTCAGACTAATGGCCTCTTCTCTTCTTCTGGACTATTTTGTGATGATAAGTTTGCTTCTTTGTGATGATTTCGTCTAGTTGTGTTGTCGGATTTCACTGTGTGTGAGGGAGGTTTACTGTCAGGCAATAGCCGCGAAACAATTCCCATTGACATTAACAGCAATCCGGAGCAATGTTGTTCGGTCAGTGGCTTAGTAAAGATCAAGTATGACAACAACAATGTCACTGCCTTTCTTGCTGTGGTTACCTGTACGCGAAATGATCATAGAACGTTAACTCTAGCATCAGAGAAAAGAATAACAATAAGGCTGCAGATTTAGAGGATTAGAAAATCAGAAGATTTACCATAGCAGTAGTGGCAGCCCCAAAAATAGCAATGAGTGATAGAACTGAAATTTGACCAATGAACGTGGCCATTGCTTCGAATATAAGCACACCGTAAACATATGGATGCTACAAGTTACACAACAAATGTTAGTCTAATATAAACTTTGTAGCAGCCAGACGAGAAAAATTTCAACGAGTTCACTCAGAGTAAGACTATTATCCATATAAAGGTTTGAGTGCTGTGTTATTTCTGAAACCGATTCACATAGTTCTACATATTTCATCATTCATTTACAATTTGTTAAATACAATAGAATGAATGTAATAACAAAAGCTCAGTGGAAAGCAGGCATGCTTGGATAACGGCTGCTCATTCTGTTTCACATTATGTTGCTCTGACTGCACAAATCTATCAAGCATGAACAGAGATCACAAAAATAAATAAATCGTGTATTGATTTAAGAAATCGTAATGACTAGACTATGAAGAATGGGCGAAACATTCATTCTTTTTAAGCAAATCTGTTGAGGAATGCCAAAAGAGCGAGATGTTTCTCCAGATCAAACCATTCGAAATGAATGTAGTTTCGTCAATTCCTTATTCTCCATATGACCATATCTCAGGACAAAATGAAACAAGTGAACAAGGTATAATCCAAAGAATCAGCAAGGGATTTTCTTTTTTAACCTCATAACAGGATTTCCATGCAGCAAAGAGTTCTCCAGTTAGTATCATGGGCACAAGTAGAAAAGGTGCGCCGACAACTGTTGAACAGTATAGCATCTCCATCTGATAAAAGAGTCAATACGACAATCAAATTGTTAAATACATGCAATAGGTGATTTAATCAGTGATGCAGAAACCATAAACATGAAACAAATAGTAAGCACCTGAGAAGTGTCAGGATTCACGGTGAAAATTGCTTCTTGATAATTACCCAGAAAAGAGTCCATCACCAAAGCACCAGTTATCATAACAACACCAATGATACTGAAGTTTGGTGAAGTATTTGCATCAGCTAATGTGAAGAGTATTAGTCCCCCAACTAAAAGCACGGCCGATACATATTCTTGAACCGAGTATTTTCTCCTCCAACCAGGCATAAAGGCACCCATTACCATTACCGGTAGTACCTATGCTCCAAAAATGAATATAGCCGGAATTACACCAATGTAAAGTACTAAGACATTATAAGATTCCTACACAAAAAGATAGTACCATTCATTGATATTAGCAATATATTTGTAATGAAAACGTATAACTATACCTTAGTGGATTTGAACATGATTTGTGCCGGATAGTTTAAATAAGCCAAGGAGCCCTTTGTTAATCCATGAGAACCCATGAGTACAGCAGAAAGTTTCACATAAGTTTTCCAAGGGTTCACCATTTGCTTGGTGGTGAAACCCTGCAAACGTATGAGAAATAGATATACAAAACCTTGTACAAAGGTAAAATACCATCCATAGCTGAAACCAAGATTGAGAAAAAAAATTGTCAGTGAGGAATTTTATTTCAATATCATAGTGATGATCAAGGTAGAGAAAACAATCAGAATTGAAGGAAGACATTAGTCTACCTGAATCCCAGTCGATTATATACATACTCCTGCAAATTGCAATTAAGAAAATTGAAGCAGTTATTTTGCATTGCAACACTGATTATGACCAAAAACTGAAAGGGCAGCACGGTGCAAAAAGCATCCTGCGTTCACGCAAGGGTCCGGGAAAGGGCCGTACCTAAGGGGGCGTGAAGTAGGCAGCGCTAAATATCAAACTTGAAAAAATGAAAAAGAACTAAAAGCACCATTCCAACATACCAAGACAATAGCATGAATAAATGAGACCTATTATTGTAAACCATGTTTTTTTCTATGTTTTGCAAGCAAAGGTGGAAATGAATTAAACAAAAAGTGTCACATCAGTCAAATTAAACAAGTCTTACACCTAGAGTCAGATCGTGAAGTTTAAGTCTATGTGTGCAAAAAACCACCATTACACACACTATACAAAAACAACTACGCCTCAATTCCAAACTAGTTCCGGTTTATTAAATTCATTCAATTTAGACCCGTTTCATGCTAGTATCCAATAATTTGGATTTCTCTAACACTTGAATCTCTAACATTTCATACTGACATAGTGACATACAAATCACTAGATACACTTAAAGACTCCAAGCAACACTGAACTTAAACTAAGCATTAACTCCAACTTACTGGCATTGCCCATATGGATTTTTTTCTATTATTGTGTCCTACTTTTATCACTTAATTAACCACGTTTGGGTGAAATGTATTCTCACTTTAACTTTTACCTGTTATATTGTTAAAATTCTTTGGTTAGGTGTAAACATCGGGTGCACAGTATAGGGCCTTTGCTAAGGTGGTCCCGAGAACAGGAAAGCAGCAAATTTGGGACAAAATTCAAGCTCAATGGAACAGTAATCCAATAATGAAAACACATATATAGAAATATATAGTGAAAAAAAGATATATGTATGCAAAATCACAGAATAATGATAGAAACAGGGGAGAAAAAAGCATGAAACGGACCTCGCACAAGCCATTGACGAGATAACCAAAGAAAAACCCAGAAGAGCAAATGAGGAATTGTTGCCATTTGGGTCTATCAGTTAGTGAAATTCCAAACAAAAACCTCGCTTGATCATCATTCTTCATCTCCTTTCTCTTCCCTCAAACCCCTCAAAACTCTAACAAACAAAATAACTGAAAAGAAAATTGAATTGAAAAATCAATAGCCCAATAGTTGCATGGTTTCACTTTGACTGAATTCCAATTAGAAAACAAACAAAAAAAGGCAGAGCAACAGAAACAAAAGAGTGAAAAGATTCAGTTTACTTAGCAACAGAAGAAAAGAATAAGAATTTGGCTTAGACTTGATATACAATTTACCTCTATATTTTTCTCTTTCCTTTTTTGGGTTTAAAGAGTTGGCTTAATTCTGGTAACTGAGGCCATAAAAGCAGGAGGAAATATGGGAAGAAAGGGGATTGAAACAAAGTTTACGTGACTATATCTATGAGCTCTTTCAAGCGTTACTAGATTTTCGTGGGGTTAATAATTTTGTAGGTATTAAATGAATTATTTATTACCATATTATCGTATTTACTCCTATAAATAGTTTTGAACAGTCAAATAATTTTCTTTTTTTTACTACCTCTACTATTTTAACTATATAAAAGTTGAAATTTTAAAGTGGAGCGAGTAACGGTAAAGTTATCTTCTCGTGACCTATAGGTTACGAGTTGGAACTGTGGAAGCAGTCATTAATGCTTGCATTATGGTACATTACAATTCGTGGGATGCGAACTTTCCCCGGACTCTGTGAAAATGCAGAGGCGGATCTGAAATTTCTTAAACATGGGTGCACCATTAAAAATGTAGGAAAAAAGGTATTACGTAAGAATCAATCGTTTGTTCGTCTGAGTAAATAATTCAATATTCAACCAAGTGCACCATTCAATCTTTTTGGAGCATGGGTGCCAACAAATATTATTAGACAAATTCTAGAAAATATGTATATAAAATACCTAGTTTGACAGTGAGATCATGAGTTCACGTACCCCGTGATTGAGGCTATAATCCACCCCTGTGTGTATGCAGGACGCCTCGTGAAAAAATTAAGTTTTTTATTGATATAAACTTCCTCTGATCCACAATAAGTGACCAATTTGCCTTGCGCATACCCATTAAGGAAATATTAAATTCTAGACAAAAATAGTTAGTGTGACTAAACTACCCTTAATTAAATGTTGCAGCATAGTTATAGTAGCACTTACTTCTCTTCTCAAATGTGAGGAGTAAGGACTTTTTAGGAATACGTATATAAGGGTAATTTTGGAAAAACAAATTGAATTTTTCTTGATTATATAAATGAACATTTATTTTGCACCAAAATAAAAAGACAAATTCGTCACTTATTGTAGATCGGAAGGAGTATAAAGTTTATCTAGTTTCCACAAGAATAACTACAATAATTATTAAGTCTTACTAATTGAGATCAACCATATTAATCCTCGTTGTCGATATCCTTTATTTAGACTAGTTTTACGCTTGTTGACTTTCAATTCGTCACAACTTGATCTCTTCTGTTATGAGAGTTAACAGAGACAATATTATTGTTAATTAAGTTCCTAATTACCTAAAGGTTTTTTTTCTAAAATAAATTAAAATTTCAGTGTCTGAATTAACATTAAAATTAATTTTACAGTAGTTTTTTGAATTTAGACATTTTATGGGGAGAGAGGGAGTAGCAGTAAAGGAAAATTTGGCAAACTGAATTTTCTGCTGGTCAATACGTGAGGCTATTCCTTGGTTGGGGTTTTACTTATTAGTCAGTTACAAAATTAACTTTTGTTTTTCTTTTTCAATTTCCCTATGTATTGAACTTTTAAACACAAATTTAATAAACCAGTTATATGAGCAGTAAAAATAACTCCAATTGGTAATTTGAGCAAGTAATTTGGGTACGTCCTCCAACTGAATTCAGTGATTTCTAGACCATTGCTAAACTTTTTGAAGTACAAAAACTATGTAATTTCTTACTTTATGATCCGAGATCCGACCAACTAACTGAAAATTTACTTGGCTATTAAACTATAATGGAATAATAAATTTAGGTATATTATGTTTATTAGGCTTGTAACACTAAATATTTGGCCATAGTTTTGGTGGAAAAAAGGCGTTGCACTTAACACAAATTAAAGGGAATTTTTTTTTATATCTCGTAGTAGGTCATCTTCAAATGAATCTGAATTAGTCGGATTGACATATTTCTGCGTATCAAATGTAAAAAGAAAAAAAAAATACAAGTTTACGTATTCTAGAACATGGCATGAATTTAGGTTCCTCACTTTATCACTTGCTAACCAAAGGCAGATGCAATATATTGGAATTAGGTTCATTTGAATTCAGTATTTTTGATGCAGACTACAAATTTATATATATAAATTATTAAATAGTAGATATAAACTCGATTACTTTAAAAAAATACAACTGGTTCAATGCTAAGTATCTTAAATATTAAATCCATAAAGCTTAAATTCCGGATCTGACTTTGTTGATAACTCTAATTTTCATATCAGTTATAATATTATATTATTTACTCAACAACAGCATACCCAGTATAATCCCTCTAGCGGGAAAATTATATTACTTACTCATAATGTCTGAAGTCATTTTCTGTCACGGTGGTTGTCTTATTACTTGGAACTTGTTCATTTTATCAGCAGAATTTGTATGTCTCTTTCATGGGGTTTAGGGAGCAATGTGCGTAAGTTCAGGGGCATTATTTCATTCAAATTTTGGCATTTTTTCCATGTATGTTGTGTCATGTCTCTGTAGCGGTCACATTCACATTCCAGTAATGCCAAACAAATGTTGTGCAATTCTAGTCCTATTACATGCAACTCTAATCATTCTATACGATATATTGGAGTTAATTTTGTCTATGGTCATTGAACTTTTGTGTTTGTTACCCAAAAGTTATTTTTTTTTATTTCGTAAAAATCATTCAACTTTGTGTTCATTACACAAAAGTCACTTTTCTTTCTTTTGTTACACAAAAATTATTTTACTTTGCTCTAGTTATCACAAAAGTCACATTTTTACTTGAAAAGTCTATTATGCCTTTGATATTATATAAACCTTCATATTTATGTAATACCTTCTATATTATATACCATATAATATATTTTTAACTATGTATTTTATTTATAAATAAAATAACTTAATATTATTTTATTTATTATGTTTATAATATATTCGTATATTAAATTTTTTCTTAACGTTAATTTTTAAAATATATTAGTAGCGTTATTAAATTTTTCAGTAACTTTAATATATATTAGTAGAGAAATAAATCGGCAAGTACATTTCTGTGAGAAAATTTGCAGGTAAACAAATAAGAAAATGAGAAAGAAATCATATGTTAATCTGAAGGAAAATCCCTAGGTACTACATGCGAATTTAGCTGGGATATTTTCTTGGGGATTTACCCGGGCAATTCGTTATTTGGGAAATTATCTTACTAGAAATTCGAAATAAACTGTCCAAAAAAATTATCAAAGTTGGTCGATAATGGCCAATAACCGTCCAAAACGCGACCATTAACGTGTGATCGGTATTTTGAAGGTCAGAATGGCATACCGACCAAAGTTGATAGGTAATTACAGATCAACTTTGGTCGGTCAATTAAATTCAAAAAAAAAAAAAAGAATTGCTAAAAAGTTGTTTTATAACGCTACTAATATATCTTGAAAATTAATGTTAAGAAAAAATTAAATATACGAATATATTTAAAAATAATAAATAAAATACATAGATAAAAATATATTATATAGTATATAATATAAAAGGTATTACATAAATATGAAGGTTTATATAGTATCAAGGGTATAATAGACTTTTCAAGTAAAAATGTGACTTTTGTGATAACTATAGCAAAGTAAAATGATTTTTGTGTAACAAAAGAAAGAAAAGTGACTTTTGTCTAATGAACACAAAGTTGAATGATTTTTACGTAACAAAAAAAAAAAGTGACTTTTGATTAACAAAAGACAAAAGTTTAATGACCATGGATAAAATTATCTCATTTATGTATTGAAACTAGGAGCTAAATGGCAATAATTAAATTAAATTTTTTAATATAGACTTCCGATAAGAGTAATTTTGTCCTGAAAAATTAGTTTTTTTGCCTCTAGGAAGAGTTACATTTTTTAAATTCTTACCACAATACAATAAGGGTCTGTTTGAAAAGCCACCAGGTAATTGGAATTTGTTTAATTACTAGGATAGTAATTATACAACCTAGTAATTACACAGTTATGTAATTACGACGACCTGTTTGTTTGTCATAGTGTAATTACTGTGTAATTACAAGTTTACTGTTTGGTTGCACAAGTGTTATTACACAGTTAGACTAAATTTTAAATTAAGTAATTATCAAAACTTGAAAGTTAATTTAATAAATATATGCCTATAAATTTTTATAAGTATAAATGATATTATATTTTGTATT